TCTTTCCAAGTCCCCATATAACCTTTGTCACTGGGGGAGGGGGCTTCCTGTCTCCAGCGGGGCCATTTAAAGGCCATTTTCCTTATTTCCTGCAGCAGGGAAAGTTGTGAATTTCGTAAGCTATATTAAATAGTCCGTGACTGGTGTAGAACGCTGTTTTTAGGAGGCTGTGTCCTTTGAAAAGTACACCTAGCAGATGATGCGGGATGTGTCCCCGTAAGTGCAGCTTAAACAAACCCACCTTCCGTGGGTCGAGCATCCCCTTAAACGGTCCAGCTGGGTCAGCCAACGAGGCCAGCGGCGTGGAGAGGAGGCAGGACTTGCAGAAAGCAGATGGCTCACTCCAGCTCATTCCTGGGTTTGCTTGGACCCGTGGGAGAGGGAGGATGGTGAGTTCAGTTTTTCTTCTGTGTAAGTAGTGTGTTTTCTGTATGAAAACCAGGAACTAGAGATAGTCAAAGAGACATGGAAGTAAAATTCAGCAGTGCACGCCCTCTGCTACGCCGTTCCGTGTGTTTTTGCTGACGTGTGAGCACACGTGGGTATGGAGGTCGGTGGTCTCAACGGTCTTGGTGGATCCAGGCCTGAACCACTGCACTGTGTTTGAGGCCCTGGAATGTGCTTTATTTAAGGTGAGGAAACCCCAAAACAGAACTCACAAAAACAGTCATATGTGTCGATGTATACTGACATGTGTCACGCCTGACACTTCAGGGCGCAGTCACTTTGGGGTGGGCATCTTGGGTTGAATTCTGAGACTTGGGCCAATCCTTCTTCCTTTCCCAGTCCCTGCCCCCGCCCCCCTGCCAAGGCAGGTCCCCTTCACATGCCGTCTCAGAAACCACACTTCTCATTAGGTCACTTCACAGCGCTCTGTGTCAACAGCCTAATTCTCTGTCCCTTTCATTGCTGTCCCCTGGACGTAGGAGCCACAACAGTCAGTGAGGCCTCTGCTTGGACACGTATTCCTTACTTTCTTCCACGTGAACACTCTTGAACTTGCATCTTTTCCCGTGTTCCTACTGATTTCCTTAGGATGAATTCTGAGACACATCACTGATGAAGCAAAATGCGCTCATATATGTTTAAGGTTTTAAACTATTCTTCCAGAAAGCTGGTCCTTTCATTTTTAGACAAGGAAGGCAAGTCCTCTGGTGCCAGGGTTGGAGTACAACTCTACCCCGAATCTCGCTGCTTCTCAGTTCCGTGGCCATGAAGTGCCCGCACCACAAACAGGGCTCCGTGCCGGAGTTCGGGGGCAGGACCCGCACAGCTGGCGGGGCTTTGCTGCGCCTGCGTGGATGGAGCAGCTGTGCGGACGGAGATGTGAGTTGATGGACCCGCCCACCGGAGCAGAAGGTGGGAATGGGGAAGTGAGTTAAGCCTGGGTGCCCGGTGAGGACTGGGGACCCCCCCCAGCATGAAGAGAGATACTAGGCCCCCGACTCTCAGCCCCACCAGGACCCGAGCGGGTCCTAAGGTTAATCGTGCCTCTGCCTCTCGGTCCCTCCCTCCCACCGGGAGCTCCGCTTCCTTGTAACGAGCAGAACACAGCGATCGCAGGGGAGTCCAATGGTGAAACTCAGGAAAGGGAAACTGGTGACCAGGAAGAGATCTGTCACATGTAAGACGCCTGGGTAAAGAAGCTGTGGTATATGTACGCACAATGGAATACTACTCAGCCATAAAAAATAATGAGATAAAGCCATTTACAGCTGCATGGATGGACCTGGAGACCATCATACTAAGTGAAGTAAGCCAGATGGAGACAGACAAATATATGATATCACTCATATGTGGAATCTCAGCAAAGGGCACAAATGAACTCATTTACAAAACAGAAACAGACTCACAGACATAGATGAAAAACTCACGATTACCAGGGGAGAAGGAATGAAGAGGGATAAATTGGGAGTTTGGGATTTGTAGGTACAAACTACTTCATATAAAATAGATAAACAACAAGGTTCTGCTGTATAGCATGGGGAGCTATACTCAATATCCTGTAATAAACCATAATGGAAAAAGAATACATATATATGTGTATAACTGAATCACTTTGCTGTACCCCAGAAACTAACAGAATCTTGTAAATTAACTGTACTTCAATTAAAATAAAAAGAATTCTGTCACATGTTAACTTCAGTCCCTTTCCAGGTAGCCCACCCTTCAGGCCAGGGGGCCGCTGCCAGCCAGCTCCACCCCAAGCCTTACTCATTGGAAACAAGACAGAAGGCCTCTGCCTCCCCTGCCCCATTCTGTAGGGCAAATGCCTCTCCCCGCTTCCCC